TATATACACTTTAATTCAAATTAAAAGTGCAGACATCGTGATGCTAGCCAGTTCACGTGATCTTGCGTTTTGTCAGGTATTTGGCCGGAAGGTGCTGATGGTACCGACATCAATGCTTGCTGTAGGTCTGAAAGCTCGGAGTTCATGGTAACAGGGGACGACTTCGGACAAGTAAATTTCTTTCGTTATCCTGTGACGAAAATAAAGGTATGACACTTTGACTTCGCTGCTGTTGTGTCAGCTTTTGTTTTCTTTCTAATTGCGCTCTCCTTTATTTTCTTCCTTTCTTCTTTAGGATCACATTTTTTGAAAATGGCTTTTTTGATCATTTTGCTAGATATAAATAACCTCATTTCCCGGGGGGGGTACTCCCATATATTTGCTATACGGGGACGTGCCGCTGGCCAGGGTATAGTTTTTGGCCTTGCTGTCTTAAACAGGGTATACATTTGACCCGAAATTGTCTTAAACAGGCTCTACAATTTAGATAAAAGACCGAGATAATTTTTTTTTCGTGTCTTGGACAGGGTAATATTTTCATAAGAAATACCGAAGAAATAGTAGAAATACCGTTTCAATGTACTAGGATTAACGTGTTATCAAAAACTTCTTATTGTCTTTGATCGATGTCAGTATAATTGCACTTTTGATGGTTGCGGCGTATATAGCTATTCCTTATTTTTCCGATTTGTCTTGAACAKGGTATGGATTTTYACTTTYTAGTGTCTTAAACAGGGTCAGGGTTTTAGACCGCTGGCGGCACGTACCTATTTAAAACGAGGTGGAGTGCCTCAGTTTTAGATAACGTTTTTTCAAAAATCTTTTTCATTAACTCTTCCTTTCGCGTTCTCCCTTCTCTCCTTGGTCWTCATTGKGTCATTGAATAAACAGTTCACGTGATCTCACTTAGCTTAAATAAAGAAATTTCCTTCGAGATTGTAAAAATGCGAACTCTTTCATACAACTTGTGAGATTCGGGGAGAAAAGCTTCGTCAAATTTCCTCAGAAATCGATAAATGTGCATGGCTGCTGATTTTGGACCAATATGTTTATGTGAATGATTCGCTAAAAAACGTTTAAATTTCGTCGCGCATTTTTGTTCATTAATATACCTCGTGACGCGATGACTCGTACTACCACTAATTTTTAGAGTTTAACTAGTTTCATGATTGTTGCAAAGCCCAGTAGAATGGGCTCAACTCATTCTCTCTTGGTRCGTAGTCTTGTTCCATCGTCTTCGCCGTCTTCTTGCTCTTAAACTGTCCCGATCGACATGGATTCAGGCTGGCTTTGTTGCTGCAACATTTCTCGATGYTTGAGTTGTTCTCCATGGTCGWCGTCAGTAATCTTACTCTGAGGCTAAAAAGTCCCTATGACTTCAAATCAGGCTTCCTTGCCATAATCAATTATGTTATTTCTTTTTTTTTCAAATCATATTTATTACTCGGGGTTCCTGTGGAACCGCCGAGTTTAGGTTTCGGCCTTCTTTGTCATGGTCGCATTTGGTACACAAATTGTCTCGGCCAAATTAGAATGCACTGGGTACGAATCACGTGACATTCACAACTTCCATGTGCTATCTTATGGTGTCGTCGAGGTGTCGTCTTTATACGAGATGGAAGGCATGAATTCAACTTCAAACACGCTCAAATCTCTTACAAATCCACACACCATTCGCCGTATAGCCACACTAAAAGATGTCGAGCGTTTTTCGAAAGGGCATTTTGAGAGATACCGCGAATTTATCTTGAAATTTATCGTGAAACTTATCGTGAAATTCGAACCAATCTTATCAAAAGCGAACTCTATACTAACTGATTCTACAGGCTCTGAAAATACAAAGGACTTCTCTAAGGAATGCGAACAGAATTCACTGAGGAAAAACCGACGATTGCAACTATTTTATTTAGCACAGAGGATAAAAGACTCTGTCTTTATAGCCTGCCACGTGACTATCAAAGTGAGGAGAGCTTGACAAAGACTATCAATTCTTCCTTAATGCTAACTACATCGCTTCTGTTATTATTTTTCATTCAAGGAAATATTTTTTGCTTTACCCTTATGATAGTATTGATATTAACTTTATTAGGGTTCAATACAGTCCAATTCTTCGATAACTACACTCAAAATATTGTCACTTTGTTTATTATAATTATCGACATGTACGTTGTAGTCGTAGTCGAGACCCCAGTAGGATACCAAAACGATTTCTAAGACGCTTATAACAAAAGTAGAAAGCTAAGATGGGTTGTTTATCATCGAATCTGTCAAAAGAGGTTTATCTTAATTTTGTCTTACATGTAAAATGACATAATAAGATTTTTGTTATTGTCTTGATATTTGTTCATGTTCTTTTAATAATACGAAGTTGGTGTAGTAATAATAATAATAATAATAATAAATAGTATTTATATAGCGCAAAATATCCACCAGGTTCTGATGCGCTTTACAAAATTTAATATAGAAAAATCCAATGCTATTATAAAAATTTATAAAAAAAGATATAAAAAAGATATATAAAAAAGGTTTATATGAAAAAGAATTTAAATATGTACACTGTTTAATTATGAATATATACTTTTTTTTATTGCATAATACACAAATACAATAATAATGATTTTATCATAAAACTTCAAAAATTATTTAATTGAAAATGCTTTCTTAAAAAGCCAAATTTTTTGTGTAGACACAGTTATTTTTTTAATTTTAAATGACTTTTAAGTTATAAAAATTGTGATATTTATATTACTGCATATCATGAATTGTCTATCAAACTAGCTACCCATCTTATCAAAAGCGAATTATATAGTAAATATATGGCAAACACGCAAGTGTAAACGAGCCTTACCAAATTCACTACTATTTTATCAACAAGAACCCCGAGTTTACGCAGTTATGCGTCTAGTTGTAAATAGTATTGCATAGMAAATGAATTGAATAGAATTGAGTTGAACCAATGTTATGTTTGTGGCTCGATGTTCTTATCCTTGACGATGTTCTTGCTTATATTCATTTTTGTGTTTGCTCCTGTCTTGGCTTCGGACAATATTCTCGAGTTATTAATTGTATTTTTGCGTTTCAGTCGGACTGTCAAAATTGCTTGGGACACAGCTCTCACGTGACGTGCGTGCGTTTCACGTGCGACGACACCAGAGTAATATCTACGGGAGGAAAAGACTGCAGTGTGATGCAATGGAAAATCATTGGCTAACAAAAGTTAGGATTGGATTACCGCTGGTTTGCAAGCTTTCCGCCCTCCGTAAATTATTCCTGTCCKGAAGACAGAGAGATCTTCTAAAATCTGATAAACAAGAATAATGATTTTCCACTTTCTAAAATCTTTGATTAAAAAGGAATAACTTTAATAAATACTTATTTTCATTTAGAGACACTTGTGATGAATAATCTTATGTCACTTTGAGCCATATGGTATATGAAAGCCTATTACACAGTTTGCCCGCAACTGCTTCAACTTGTTAATATTCTTCCTGCAGGTTGTCTTCATTCTTGTCCCCTGTATGGACTCTCTTTTACAAGGTCCAAAAGTAGACATGAGGGCCGCCATTTATTAATAATCACTTAGATTATTAAAATTTTACTGCGACGATGGTATTCAACGCAGCTCGTACCATCATTTTCATCATTCAGAATTGTTAACTTACCCTCTTGTTCAAACATAAGATCGTTTAAATGTTTTCAACTTAACTTTATAAATATTTACCTTTCGATTTTAACATTTGAGATGAAAATGAAGCAATATCAACTTGAATAACTTGAATTCCCCTGGCTTGAATTTCTCTTAAGTTCCAGCATTTCAGTGAAGCTGTTGCTTTTTAGTAGTGATAATTGCARAATAAGCAGTGATTATTTCTACAATAGTTTTGTATAAATAAGTAATCTATTCCTGGATTTATGTCACTTCATTTCCATTTTTATCATAGTTTTAGCTGAATTAATCCAAATTTCACAACACTCCGACTTTTTTTAGAACGTCCCTTTTACAGTGCATATAGAGGAACTTTTTTATGTTTTCTAGGAAGGGTTTAACGATCCTTAAATATGGTTTGCTGAAAAGAAATGAAAAAATTGAAATAGCGGTATGTTGTTGACGCGATTAAAGTTCAGAAAATAGCTTCCTGTGCTTTTTATACCGGAACTTGGGGCCTGAACGAATGATGACGTAGCAGCCGTCAAAAGCGATAATTTATTCAAAGTCGGCGTCCGATAATGAACTTATATCTGAGCAAAACGAAATTTTAACAGACGAATTTCGGTGAATATTATATGCAATAACAACAAAAGACGCCAAAGAACGTCACACGCTTGTTGTAACCAGTCCCCCTTGGACTCCCGGTATAAAAATCACAGAAAGCCCAAATAAGCAATTTTCTGAACTTTTATGGCCTCAAAAATATACCACTATTTCAATTTTTTAATTTCTTTTCAACAGACCATATTTAAGGATAGTTAAAAATTCCTTAGAAGACATTAAAAAAGCATTTATGTGCACTTTGATATCAAGTCTCCCTTCTACCTRTGTTTTGAAAATTTACATTATTCATAGATATAGCCGACTTCTTTTCAAACTGACAGAGTTTTCGTATGTGAATAAATTAAGTRAAGACCTGAATGCATTCCGGTTGCATCCCTGCTTATGTATACACCTGTCTTAAAAACGTTGTCCTATTTGAAAACAGCATAAAGTAATTGGTAAATACTACAATAGAAATTAATTATTGGTGATGTACAGCTTTTTATGTTGCTGCCATACCAAAGGGAATATTATGGCGTCAAAATTTCTCGGATGAGGTTTTCCTTATTTGGTTTCTGACGACACAATTTGTTTTAAGTTGTTCACAAAGTAATTAGTTAATTCAGAGTTACTAACTCTGGTTAATTGTTACTATCAAATTCATTTGTATTACTTTCAAACAGAGCGAAGTTCTTTAAAGCAGGTGTAAACATTATTCTCTAGTTAATTGAAATACTTTTTATAGTGAAACAACCCAAGTCCGTCCGATTACATTAAATTTAAATCGAAATAGGTCACCGCAATCCTGTCGGACAGAACACATTGAAAGTCACTGAGTTGTGCTTACTGGTTGACAGGTTATTGTCCTGTATTGAGTGTATTAATGCATACGCTTTCTTTCTCGTTTCTTTTCTTTTTTTGTATAAAGCTCGTTAAGCATTTAGTATTTTTGGCGCTTGAACATTTAGACAGAATATAATCTTCTGTCCTTTGGAGCGCCCGTCACATYGAATCAGCAATGTTGCCCGAGTAATTACAGTTTAAAAGATCGTAACAGATGGTGAAGCCTTGTAAGACCAATGAACGAAAGGAAAAATAAGAAAAAAATGTGATCTGTTTTCTAGCTTCAGTTTTAATTTTGAAAAGTATGAGATACCTAAACGGACGTATACTCTTGCATTCTTGCGGATTTATGTTGCATATTCTGACTTTGGATTTTCTAASTTCCTATTGCTAACTTTGAATAAGGAGCAATATTCTTTTAGTCAGTGAGTAATTATTCGCGGCTCCGCAAGGTTTAAAGATTTAGTTTCAAATTATTGTTTACTAGAAGTTTTGAAAACGTGGTTGGTCAGTTCGTTTTGATGAAAGAATTTAATGTATGGTACAGACGCATGTTATCATGTTATGCATCATTTAAAGTTCTGTTCGTCTCTTTGCCTAGTCCTAATTAATGCCAAGCTCAGTTCTTCATTCATAGGCAGGTGTATTAGTCTAATCTTGGAGCCTATGACTAGCTGATGTCCCTGTGCAAAGCATGTTTAGAACATGCATTGACACATGCCGGGCTTTCGTTTATGTTTTCTCCTAGTAACAAGCGCTCACAAAACCCGTTTTGTTTAGATAGCTGTCTAAAACGTTTTACAATCACTTGACGCTAAGCCTGCGATAAAAGGGAATAAGTACAAAAACACTGATGAGATGTAATTGAAACGAGTTCTATCACGATGAAATTTCGACGAACATTTGAAAAATAAATGAAATAACTTCAATAACATCTTCATAATTAACTAAAAAATCTTAAAGTATAAAGTATTATACATTGCAAACCCTGTTCAAGCAGAACTCGATGATACGGAAAACTATTCATATTTACCGTGAAAAAAAATTGACGGGGAAAAAAACACTATGGGGTCTATCTAAAGTCTGCATCCATCTGATCAAACACTCTCCTGTGTTGAATGATAGAAAAGAATAATTGTTTATCTAGAAACAATTGTGATACTATCGAAAGACAATGATCAATTCATTTATTCAAAGTTTCTCAAGTTTGCCGGAATGGTCTTGTTTTTTTACTCAGATTACAAATATCTACGTAAATTAGATCTGATGTGTTTTTCGACAATAAAACTACTTCTTGTTAGCTTTTTTACTAATACTATTTCTTTCATGAACGTACTAAAAGCCYCATGATGACTCAGGATCAATTTTCGTTGAGTCAACTCCATAAAAGTATCACATAGCCTAAATCAACCAACACAACCAATTCATGAACCAAAACAAAGAAGCACAAAGTGACTTCACTCAAGTACCAGTTTGAAATGTTTTCTTTCTAGTTAAGCTAATTGCGGTATATTTACAGTCCGTTCAAATTGAACGGTCTTTCCCACGGTCATTTTAGTAGGTCTGTTGCTACTTTCAACTGGTGACCAAAGCTTTTCACGATACAGAATAAAACTATTTCAATTAACTCAGTGTTTCCAACCCGTTCCTCTAACTTGAACCATGACATCGTTTTGTCAGGTGTAYTTAGAAAAATAGCCGACGAATAAAAGCTCGAGGCCAACAAAGTTGAAATAGTATTCTTCATTATATTAGTGTATCCAGAAATGTTGAAATAAAACTTAAAAGCTTTCTCCGGAAGGGCAATAACAATTACTTATAGCCAACCTACAAACTCCGGATAATTTTGACACGGTCAAAACACCTAGAACAAAAAACGAAAAAGACCGAAAGATGCGAGCTCAGGCTTAATAAAAGGTATCTAGAGAAATAGTTGAGCAGGCTATTCTACTTTTTTTTTGCGGTTTTCCAGTTTGTTATTGACGTTTGCGTTGCTTGAATTCTGACAATCTCACAGAAAAGTGAGCGTCAGATAGTCTCACCGCTCTGGATAAAGTGTCATTAGAACTCATGATACACCCTTTTTGGTTACGAGTACTGCAGGTAGGCGAATGTTACCTACCCTGGGGTTTACACGAAAGCCAACTATGACTTCCCAGACACAATACCCCGAAACCTACCCAACTTTTCAGACTCAGTCAACSCGTGTTACGGCTACTTGCACAGGTAGCTTTTAACCGGGCGCATACAAACAAGGCGGTTACGGTGTATTTTAGGTCTCTTTTACCTTTTCGCAGAACATTTTGATAGAAAATGTCCAATTCTATGCATAAAAATTGGACATAAATTTTCTTTCAAAATCGAGAATCATTATGACCGACAATCAAAATCGAAATTTTAGACCTTTTTTAACTTTGGATTTAGCGTTGTTAGTAATGTTTTTATTGGTGCAACAAAAATCAATCTGGTCCTAGAGGGGGAGAATGTGGTTAAACTAAGTAAAATATCAAATAATATCGCTCACTCTTCTATCCGTGTAGAATTACAAATGGTCCAAACGATACACGTATATGATATCAGAGAAGACATGACAAGCATGGCCGACATGACCGTATGTTGCCACACACACACAGCAATGGAGATATCAAATACACGTGTAATGAGGCAATGCAATCATCGCCTGTTCTAGGAAGTGGTTTGCGGTCTTCCAAATACAGGATAGCATATTATTTGTAGTAGCGATTCCCTTGTTTCCTTTCGTATCTGTTTAACTGATTTTGAATGAATTCGATTTTATTTACTTCACGGGATTTTTAATAAAAGTGAACTTTTAGCAAGATTTGTGAGTTTCTAACCTACTAAAAAAATCGAACACAGGGCTTTTTTTGGTCTTGAAATGTATGCTCTGTTGCAAATTGGCTAAATTTGGACGTTGAAAAATATGAAACTTTCCGTGTCTGATAATAGTAAGATATTCAGTGAGTGATATGATAGGAATTAAAGTCCTATGACGAGATTGGACAAGAATCCCTCTTTCTATTCAGAGMATTATATTTTTAGTTTAAACGGACATAATAGCACTACATTAATGAAATTATTCAACATTTACCTATAATTTAAGCTCATGGCACTGATTAGGTTATGGCTCGTGATATCTATTGAACTCAAGAATTTGTGGAACTTTCGATSAGAATTCATGCTTGGGCAAATTGCAGAAATACTCACGCCATTTATGGAGCGGCTAAAGGTTGAATCTGATTTATTGAAGTTTATTATGTCTGCTTACAAAATTTTCAAATAAAACTCACATTATTTCATATAGAAATACTACTTTGCAAAAAATGCTTCCTTCGATCCGAGATCCTTCTACAAACGGGCCGTGGAGTCCATGCAACGCATATGCGAAAAAAATTCAGTAAGCGATGTATATAAAACACATGATCCTTTCAGTATGCGAAGGCGTTTATTTACTAAATACTGTCATTTGTGTGATGAATGTTTCGGTAAGATTACATGAATCTAGCAAAAACTTCGATGAAATTRCAAGAAAGYATGCTTTGAAAATACGAAGAATAAAAGTAGCTTGTACAAGTGTCTATTGCTTGGATTGCACTTTTCAGGCTATTTGAGGGGTAAACATCGATAAAAGAATCGCAAACATCTATTTTGAACCACAAACAAAGAATCCCGAGTATTCTCTTTTCATCAACAGGAAAGGATTTCTTTCATTAATTAGTTTTTACAGTCCCATAGCTTTGTGTACTAGCTGGATCGTGTAAACAATCTGAGGTATGACTCCCCAAATCCCTTAATTCTTACTACATTTGGAGACGTTAACAGTGAAGTCTAGGAGGAAGTTTAGACATAACATTTAACAGTTTTGAAACTGTCCTCCTGACCCTAACMCTCTGACTCATCAATTAGTTAACATGAATTAAAACTCGACTTTTTATTCCAGTGTAGCGTTGATGGATTAGGATTAGGGTAATACATATTTATATACTGAGAAACTCTGCGCCAAATGTTATTGTAATATATACTTTGAAGTCTAAAAMGTTTTCAGTTCAATATCATGCGATGTAATGCACTTAAACTGATGCATATTGCTTCTCAGTTGTGGTAAAAATGGTTTGTGCAATTTCTGCACGTAAGAAAAAAAACATTTGAAATGTTGGCTGGCTGACGACCAGCCCCAAGCTGTTAATGTCAACGATTGTATTACAGCTTGGTAAGAAAACATTGAGCGCATTGATAATTCAAAGAAGAAAAGAGRAGAAATCTCACGCATTGTTCATGATATAGCTTGTAAGTTATTTCCAAACAAGGATTTTTTATGGAAGATAAAAAAACATTATGTTTGGAACATCAAAAATCATTGATTGTGTCACTCATCTCAGACGTGACGAAGCATATACAACCGCAGCATTGATTGCACTGGCATCAAGAACAAAGAATCAAAACTTCAACGATACTCATAGCAACCAGGTGCGTTGCACCTTTGAAGTTTCTATACGTCTGCATTGAAGGATATCGTCTTAACATTTTAAGGCTATTGTTTTAGCACGAACATATTATTCATGCTAGCGGTCTAGTGGTTTTTGCTTGCTATCATGTTTTATAAGAGTGGTAACAAGTGCTACAATCCAGAAAGATACGTTTAATGTGCGTGTATTGATACRTTGTTCACACCCTTGTAGTGCTCTTTGCCCCACTGCTTATAACATACTAGCCAGGTCACGCCAGTTGTGTGATATAGAGGCTTTTGTGCTGCAACTATCCAAATTATAAGCGACAATAAAAATGTGATATCTTAGTACCGATTGCAGGAACTCACTAATCAAGTAATCTTAGAATAAGGTAGCTAGTTTTTTTCGTGAATGTGTAATAAGACCTGAAACCCTAATGGGCTTAGCCTTAATGCTTTTAGTACAAATTACATGCGAAATTGAAATACAACACAATTTTTCAATCTAAAGCTCATTTATTTATTATTTCTTTWAGATAAGATCTGTGTCATGTTCAACAGGAAATCAATAAATTCGACCTTGCTTTTAGATAACATCTTCCAAAGGACTCATTAAGACTCGCCTAATTGATTTTACCGCTAAAGAAGACAAACGTGGTGTCCTTGTTGTATCACGTTCAAAGAGTTTCATCGGAAGGTCTCTTGTTGAAACAAGAGAGCCAGATCGAGTTCACCGTAAGAAGACAAAATAGAAAATCACTGATTTTCCAGGGAAACGTCGTCGTTGTCACTAAAAAATACACGAAAAGAATAGAAAAACAACTGTAAAACAAGTGTGCAATAAAACTAAGTTTTCACCATCTATTAGTCATATGTAAGTAATATATAGATAATCACAAATCGATGAAAGAAAGTAACACGWAATTTTAAAAGGAAATGTGGTAAAATTTCGGAGTGTATATAACTTAGTTACGTTTAAGAGTTTAAAAACTGATACAAGTACGAAATGGATTATGCAAACTGACGAATAAGGAACAACAAGGAAACTAGCATTTGTCTATTGATGTACAAACAGTAACATTATATATGTAGCTTTTGTATATAMACTATAAACGCATCAGCCTGGATTACAATGTGAAGGGAAGTTAGCCATTCCGATCTTAGAAGTAGATTTATCGCGAAAATTACTATTTTTATAAAAAGGCTACATTTGAATGTTTTGGAAACTTTTCATGACYTTATCTTTCTTCTMTGGCTCGCTTGTACATTGGTTTTATTGCGCTGTCAGGATTTTTGTCTATGATCAAATGATGCTTCATACCGATGTCAATCATTTAGAAATGCTTGATATTAAAAAAAGACGTGATAAAACGTGTTCACAGATTGATGAGAACAAAGTGCAAGAGAAAGTTTTTGAGGTTAAATATATTCACAGTAAAGTAAAAAAGGACAAACAAACAACAGCAAACATTCATGCATTATGGCTGTCGGGAAAATGGACAGATCAGCCTTCAATTACCAAAGCCTTTGTCTGCCGGTCCTACCTCGCTTAACAAATTTATCCAACGAATTGAAAAGAGGATTTAGGTAAACAATGGCAGACGAAAAGTCTGTTTTTGACATTTCCAGAAATAAGAGCTTGATTTACAAGCTTTCAATTTCTCATTAATGTCCAGAGTTTGAAAATCTCTGAACAAGGAGTTTTTGCAACACTAATGAATATAAAGCTGGTCGTTTCTATGGCAACTTATTGTGAAGCGGRTGTTCTAGAACGCAGATTGATCRATACTGAGTTTTATRGATGTAAACGTTTTTCAAGAGTTGTATATAAAAACAAACAATTATTTGTCTACACTTCGAAAATATTTTATTATTGTTAAGCGTTTTGTGAGTCGTGTATTAAAGATCTTTCCAGATTAAAGTAAAATGAGCACAATGATTGGTATACTCCGAGGCTCATGTCCTGGACCAATTAAAATCTGATTTATGTTTAGCCAAAAGTCCAAATGGCGTCTGAAAGTATTTAACGTCTGCCGTAATTCTTCTGTGGAATTTTCATGCGATAAGTTAACGTCACATTTTTAATTATTTATAGAAACTTGATGGAAATTGTTGTCAAACTGATTCACCTTGTATTTATTAATTGTTTTGATTCGATGACGGTTAAAGCTATTTTTGGAAGTGGAAACTGGTTAAAGTATAGCACAAATTATCACAAAGGCTTAGCGTCGAATTATGTTTTTATTCGATTAAAAGCGATCAAAAAGGTACAGYCTTACTTTATGCACATGATCACATACAACAAAAGAACATTAGTTGAACAATCATTTGTGTTTTAGCGAATCAGTTTATTTTTCAAACAGCTCCCCATCAGCAGAACCATACAAACACACTCTTATCGACAAAAAGTAGATTAAAGGAAGGTAAGGACATCGTGAAGGAAGCGGTTTTGTCGTTCTGATTGTCGTTCATTCAAAAGCCTTCATAGTTGATCGCAATGAGCGGGGTCCCCTTATCTCGTAATGACATTTGTTTGTGTTTCATATAATGAAGGGATACTCAAATTACAAAATTTATCATGAAGCTCAGTTGAGTTTCCGCTATTATCGCGCAGAAGATACACAAATATAGCTGTTTAAAAGTTTTTGTTCRCAGTGCTTTCTTAATGTGTAATCGAGATATTCTCCCGTCAAAGTGTGTGCTGTTTTTGTCGACTCGATAATCCTTACTCGTGTTGAGGTGTCGGGAAAGTGTGAAAATGGTTAGCACTTAATGTGACACGATATTTAGAAAACATATATTTTTCTTTTTCATCGCATGTTTCTCATCGACAGTATTGTGCATATCTACCAAGGAAATGATACGTCCTCGCATAGCTATTTTCACTGAGAGTCACATAGGTGGCATTTGACCAATCACGCTACGTGCGAGCACAGCGCGAACACATAAATACAAACATTAGTTTATGCATTGATGGTATAGTCATTYATTTATTTCAAGTTGTTTTAGGTCGCGTGCAGTAAGCCTTGCTTAGTTTCTGTTGTTAACATGTGCATTTGTAACATGTGCCATGCTGATAAATGTTATTCAATTGCCACAAAGAAGCTTTTGTCTTTTAATTGCTTTATTTAGAAAAGTGTCACCTCAAAACAAAGCCGCTCGATACWTTCGAATTACAGTACTTTTGCGTAAAAAGTCACAAGATCAATGCTAGCACCAAAATGGAACTGTTTTGATAAAGCGTGCACCAATCCGGCCTTCTTGGATTCCCTACGATGTCTGTCTGCTCAAAACTGCCAAAATCTGTCATCGCTAATGATTTGAAGTACCGATAACTCGAGCTTCGCTGTGAACCCGCCCATCCCAAATCACGAAATTGAAGACGACCCAATGCTGGTTTACAAATGATACAAACGATAGTCTTTTATTTTGCTTTGTAAAAAATCAATACGAAGATACTTATTCAAGAAAATAACTACGAATGTTTACTTAGCCCGAGATAGGGTTTTGATTCAAGTACAAAATGGCTGACCAATTCAATGTCCCAAATGAAAAGATCTTTTATTAAATTATTTTCTTGGCAACACAGAGCTCTTTAAGACCTCTTCGCTTGTAATCATTATTAAATTCTATGTCGAGACGTGTCGTTTTGACTTTCCCGTCGCCATCACTTTAGAATAACAACAAGAGCACTTACTTACCTCGAGTCATTTCGACTCGTCTGCTAGTCCTGTTCACCACTAGYATCACGCATTGAATTTCTACTTATTGTAGGCTTCAATATAACGTACTTGTCACAAAATCTTTCTTTCTGTGCTCAAATTTGTGCGGGGCGACCGCTTTTGGGTTTTCGATTTCCAAAGAGTTAATGATATGGACGATATATGAGAACCACATCGAAATGAGATACTTATTTAGGCGGAAAGACCTCGGCTTTCTTGGCGGTTAGGAAGCCACTAATCTATATCAAAATAAAAACTTGAAGTTTTCAGAAGTAAATATATGTATATATATATATAATATGTATTTTCACTTGTATTAGAGAGCATTATTAAAAAGGTTGCTTTATATTGCACACCCAATATATATAATTTGTACAATCAGGATTAAGTGTCTAAAGAGTACATAGTGTTGGGTTTTTCATTACGAGAACATACTAATCATACTTGGTGGCACTCGAGAGAACGACTAGAAAAACATTGACTATTGGTTCATGATTTGGGACAATGAACATGACATTTCAATGTTGATTGTCTCTTATGTGCTAAGCGGGTTAATTGAAACAGCGAAAATGAAACGACGAGAAAGAAAGTTGCATTTTTATAAGGAAAGTTGTTAACACAGTCCATCCTCGATGATCGAGCGGAAACAGTGTTCTTTTTACAATCTTCTTGACTGTCCGGCTCGACTTTTAGTCGTATTTTTCTTCACTACACGTTAAAACTATCAATGTTTTGAATAGGCTTAGTGTTACGAGTTTGTCAGCTTGTAAGTGTTATTCACTGACACATCGAAGCCGTAGCGCCACTGCTTGAAATGATCACCTTGTGGTACTAGAGAACGAGGGCACAATTTACAATGAGATACAAATCTGACCAAACTTTTTACAATCCCACTAGAGTATTAGTGAGTGTAGTCAACATGTTTGTATCYTGAAGTCCTTGGCTAAACTCATTTACTGAGTCTGTGTGTGCCATTAACGTTGCTTCATCTACTTCTAGTTTAACATTGACGGGGATGCCTTGCGATAAACACTGGGCAAAATCAGCCGTCATACACTTCTTTGCTGCCTCGTGCATAATACTTTGCTTATCTGAAGATAACAGCTTGCCGTTGCGAGCGTCATTGGACATTTCCCTGAAACAAGTAACGATCRTCAGCGAAAAACAGTCAACGAACAAGGAAGAGAAAGCGATCGCTTTGGGTAGGTTTTCTTTTGGCGGTGCAATTACCTTATCCAGACAAACATATCAAATAGTACGACTTTGCAATAGAATCCATGTCTGATAATCGGCGTTTGCGTGATATCATAGATAGGTTAGGCCTTGGAAAATAACTATTTTGCCGACCCATATTAGTGTCATTTCATTGTTTGGGATCGCGCATGTAGCGCAAGGCTGACTACGTCTTCCTCCGTTATCTATAAGCAAGACATCAACGTACTGACAAAAGTGACTCAGTCTGTAGAGTTATCAATGGTTTTTGTCGTGACATTATTTAATAGATCGTAATGGCCCGTTTCTGCCTGTTAAGGGAATTTTGTTTACTGCTTTTGAAAAAGTTTTACTCGACAAATCAACTTCCGAATCTCGAGTACTTTGATAAATTATTTAATTAAAACAGTTTTGGAATAAACCTCTCAACTTAAAACTCTATACAGATAGGTAATGCCTGTCAATAGTCAAGAAAGTCTCTCGAAACTTTGTACACAAAAAAATAAATATCCTACCTTATTTTCGCCTCTGCGGCCCGATCTCGTTGTCTTCTGTTCTTAAACCAATTGCTTACTTGTGTTGTTGTTAGACCAGTGTTCTCTGCCAATTCGCGCTTTTCACGTGGTGAGGGATAAGGATTATGCGAGTACCATTCACGTAGGATATTTCGGGATTTTTCCTTGAAGCAGTAACTTGTTTCCTCTCCGTCCCATATCGTCCTTGGYAGTGGAAATTTACGCCGCACTCGGTACTTGCCCACGGCACCTAATGGCCTTCCTCGTAGTTTCTCTGCCTCCATGTAATGTGCTTTTAGCCAGAGCGACTGCAGTTTTGGATGCGATGCTGATGAAAAGTTGCTGCTTTCAAGGATTCGATAGAGCTCCTGAAAGTTCCCATTATGGAATGCTACGATGGCTTTAGCCTTTAGTACGCTTTCATTTTTTTGGATAGTTTCACAYTCTGGAAGGGACCACAAAAATCGTCCCAATCGTTCAATGTCTCCACTCTGTTGCAAAACTTCGCAAACGCATGCAACTTGTTCYGGTGTAAAGCTGAATGACGGTAGCATCATCGAATGTTACTCATGCACAAGTCTTGAGCTGCCCGGTTTACCGTTTCTGTCCTTTGTGTTGTCTGAACTTAACACGACACACACACTTTATAGTTGCCTGGCATCAAATTGCGCACCGTAAGAAGCAAATGTCACTGTGTAGCCGTCAGACAAATTCTCTTTTAGTAGCGTGACAATGTCATTATTAAGTGAAGATTAGAACTTCAAAGTCGCTCTGTGATTGGTGGAAACTTATCGTCCAGATGGTTTTGAGTTTTCTCAGGAGATGCTAAACCAAACACCATAGAAACAATGTCAATCTMCTTCTTGAATTTCGAGAAAAGCGCTTCCGCTGAGGTACAGGTACTTGACAAAGAGAGGGCAGGTCAATGTCAATCATCCCTTAATAACAGTTACATTGGCCATAACGCTTTCCTCAAGCTAATTGACACAACTTCGGGCCGCTAAATTAAAATATTACATGAAAAATATTATGATAGTAATTTAAGATGAAGATCATGTTTCTTTCCGCAAATCCATTTGTCGGTTCGAACTGTGCCGGTGAGAAGACATAAAAATAGTCCTATAGTGTTCTAAAGCTATTAGCAGCAAATTCTGATAATTAGTTGAGCCAATAATTGAGCGTGCCACTGATTCCAATAAAAGTATGTCATTTATTGATTGTGTTATTATTGTTGTTGATAATGTTATTGGTGTTTTTATTGAAGTGTGTCACCAGCTTGRCATCTTGATTTGGTTATCACAGAAAAGAGACTTATTCTTGAAATAGATTAAAAAKAAATAAAATATTCCACAGCGGCTGTTAATTAGCACCCTGACACCTCCCAAAATATGATCTATGTGATTGCTTTTCTTGTAATTTTGAGGAAGATATTTAATATCACGATAGCTCGAAAGTGCATGAACGAAGAAGCAATAGCACAAAGGCGTCAGGCCTATGAGAGGTGTGGGCGTTAGTGTTGCTTACAAGTACTTTCACAACTTCCCTAATATGTTACTTCCTGGCTTATTACATTTAATAAGTAGCGAATGTGATCGTATTTCTACGCCTTAACAGCCTATCGTTTGCGATGAAACCGTGCGTTGAAGAAAATCCCTACGAAGCGGTATTGRACTGAGCCTCTCTTTAACAATAATCCAATACTAATATCGGATTTCTTTAAAGCTGTACAATGCCCATTACTCTCTACCATAGGATCACTTTCAACTTTCATTTAGCCCGGTTTAATGATACCTTGACTGATAGATTTCGGTTTCGTATTGTATTTCTTTTTGCAATTAAAAGCTAAAAGTACTAAGTGTTGGGAACAATTTTCGACTTTGTAAGCTCAGACAAATTTCACTTCCATTAGTTCAATTTGGTTCAGGGTTGRGACAGCTAGATAAGAATTTCTTTTCCTCAGAAAAAATATTGCAGTAAGCGAATGTCATGATCTGGACTGTAGAAAGRGAATTTAAGAAAATGTTAGAAAATGAAGAAAGAATATACAAATACATTTATTCAAAAGAGAGAGCATCATTTTGACTTTGTTTTATATGAAATAATTGAAATCTTTTAGCGAAATTATTATCGTGTGGTTTCTTGTGTTTGTATATCCTCAAAAATACTTCTGTAACACCTAGTGATATTTTCAAAGCTGATTTCAAGTAATGAAACATTTGATACYCAATCACAAAGCCACCAAATCTGACACGTAAGTCTGCGAGTATTCATCTTGGTTTATTTTCGTCGGCCGGTGGCTCCGTTAGTGTAATTTGAACAAGGATTTTGAAGACCCCCAGATCACCTTGTGACTTGGTGCATGGCAAATGATTTCCGATGGATCACATCATATTACAGGTGGTACATTAGTTCTTAAATTACATTCTGCTAACTGAAAATTCAACTTTTTCACTGATACTACTCTATTCCAACAGAGGATTTTATGATACTTATATGCACTATTATGTGAATGAACGAGTAAGGAAAGATGAGGACGTGTGAGCTACTTTTCGTGTAAAATGAAAACGTAAAAAAGAAGTAAGATTTCTCAATTTTCTCAACTTAATAATTCAGTGGATAGCAAAAAGTGATCAATTTTGTCATTTTCAGAAGGATATTACTGAAATCATAAAAAATTGCTGAGGAAAGTTAATTATGACTATAGCTTTCACCACGGAGGGCGACTCATTGATCAGCAATGATTCAATGGGAGAATGGCTTCATTGGATCAGCTATCAAGGCGAACAAAGCCATCAAAAGGGCAAACGGGCCATGTTTATTTAAAAGGATATCACTATTGTAAACTCCCCCCTACGAAGAAAATCATATCAACTAGAAACGCAAAAGATAAGAAACTCCAGGAGAAACTAAAACAAATTCCTTGAACAAACGCAGTGATTTGGTCAGTTTTGATGTAGAAGGCAACGGCAATTGCCGGGAGGCAAGGCCCMCAGGGTAGACTTACTAAATTATAACGAGATAAGACATAAAATAGCGAAGAAACCTTTTTATTAATCTACTTTATGTCTTTCAGTGTGAGATATCTGAATTGTATAATGATTATCAACAAAAAAAAATAGATAATTTCTGTTTATAGCAAAAAGATTTGTACAAGAAAACGCGGCTAGAGAAAATTTTTTTACTTACGGACGGTAGTTTTTGCCGCCAAACTGATAATTATCTCCGTGGTATCTTGCGCTTAGCAGGGATTTTGAAATCACCTTACATTTGTTTGAATACTTGCAAGATAACTGACAATTCGACAACGGAGTTAGCATCGTGACTTTAAAAAAGGTACTTCTTCACTGATTCGTAATCGCAAAAAGGTATAATATCAAGCAGATATGTTGTATTTGACATCATTRAGAACGGAGGGTTTTGGTAAACATGAGTACCACAGAGGTTATTCCACAATCGATACTTGAAACTAGCGGACTGCTTGTACTCACTCGAATTTGTGAAGTTGACTCATTGTTTTAATGGCCGTCCTTTCCTATTCAATGTTGTTCATCGYTCAGATGTGAAATATTACTGAACTAATCGTTAGTTCATATGAATATGTTTTTACAAAGTGTTTCGTGTTGTTGATTTTGCTTGATTTTTAATTCGTGCTCTTTTAAAAAATTGATGTATCTTTTTTGGTAACTGGCTATTCAAAGTTCTAAAATTAATTGTTCAACATTTCGACTCTTTGATGCGATTTGGAGACCAAGGTAAACTTTGGCACACGTTTCAAATATTTACTCAAACAGTTCTATCATTCACTGGGCTTGCTTGCCCTTCATTGTGTGTAATGATCAGGATTATTGTTTTGCCTTGTCAGTCAGGTTTTTCTTGACACGGGTTCTCGGGTGGCCAGAAAACCTTAAGCTGTATATTGTGTCTTTCAAACTATTTGCTTTAAAGAATATGGAAATCGTACAGCAGTAGCAAATTGCAAAAGACAAAATAGGTCTATGGTCTATTGTCACTTCAATGAGTTGTGATTCTAAGGTTTGCTTTTTTTCTCGAGGCTTAAAGTAGACGGTTTTATCTTGAAGGAAACTTTAATGGTGTCACTGAAAGCATAACTTAATAAGACARGGACGCAAKCGATATAACACTATACTTTAGCAACCCTGTAACTAAGCAAAAAATCCTCCTACCTTATTAAGACTTGCAATGAGCCCGAGGACAAGTAATCTATAACATTTTGTTAAAGCGTTTTTGTCATTTGTGGTCATTGACTGAAATGTTTTCTTATAGCTCAAGGCAATCAGTATGGATGTCCAAATTCTCCTCAAAGATTTGCTTGTCGTTGCCCTTCTTATTATGTAAACTTTACCAGAGTAACCAATATATATAACACCGATGAAAAGATACATTCTACTACATTTCGTAACTTTATTATCCGCGATAATAAAACTAGACCATGACAGCAGGGTTGACTCGTGCCACTAAACGTTTTGAAAATTGCATGTGCTGGCTTACTATAATCGACGAAAAGAAACAAAACATCAAAAATCAATAGCACTTGGAAATGGCTTTAAAGATTTCAGGGTTGGCCAAATTTTGAGTAAAAGACGGGTATGAGTATATACAATTGTTTACAAATTAAATTCTATCTTTGGTAACAATTTTGTCATTATATTGTGGAGTCAAGTCAGCCATGTGCTTCGTTAACCGGAAATTAATTCAAAACTACTAGTTTGTAACTTGTGATTGACCTTGATTGTCTCACAACTCGATATTGAATGAGAATAAACGCTCTGCAGAGGCCTGGCAGAGGCCTGGCACGAGCAATAARAGGACAAGAAACTGAATTAACATAGATTTAGCTACAGACCTTGGGTCACGGACCTCCTTCAAAGTGACCATTGAAGTCATAAAGAAATTGAAATAATTGTTTTTGTGAATGTCGACTTAATAGGAACTGAAGTTATATGATGGCTAAGAATCACCTCAAACAAGGCTTCCGGGAACACGTTACTGATTCTTTAGTACCCGCAAAACTGTCAGTCTCATTTTGTCGATGAGCTACTTTTAGTTTAGCTTTTAGTCCATGAAGCAAGCACCTGTATGGGATTGAGTTACCGTCTAACCAAAATAAAACCGGATAGCTGGTACTTCAATCATACCTCTTCACATAATTCTCTTCCTGATCCTTTCCACTAAGAATCTCTTCGCAATGAAACCTTGTGAGGTTCTCTGCCTGTTCATTACTGAAGTCTATTCAGAGAGTTGAAAATGCGATATTAAAATATATATCGCAACACTGTCAGCTACAATAGTCACGTCTGTATTGTTCTTTTGTTATACAATTGAGGGGTAATCCAGACTATTGTTCTCAACTTGCTCTAAATGCTTTTAGCTCTTGCGATCCCAGAGGATAATGTTACTCGTAGGATTCTATACCTATGGCGCCTTCATTTTAAAATCGAGCTTAAGGACTTTCTAGAAAAATATCTATAACTCTTTAATGAGATTGCTTGTGTGAAAGTTTTATTACTTGATCATACCGCGCATCTGATCTAGAATTCAATTTTCTAAGGCGTTCCCACCMGAAATAATCATTGAAMGAGAGACACGCAAAGAGATTGAGGACCTTCSTTTTAATCTAAGGATATTTTTATAGTCCTTGGCAATGTTTTTGCTTTGATTTTGTTTTAATTCCATATTGGCTGGCCGGTATCATTGTACTTTATTCTAACCTCGGGATTTGTTGCCGACTCACCTATCACCAATAGAACAACACCTACGATCAACACATTCTCTTATCTCGGGCATTTCGTGGTTAGATCTAATCAAAAAATCGGTATGTTTCTCAAGTGTAAAGGATACTTTGGCCRTATAAAGAAAAATAAACGCTTTCTCCATAGAAAATGGACTAATAAACAGCAAGCACGTGCCCTCACCCACTTATCACCTCAGCTCAAACATGTACTTTCTCGACTTACTTTTCCTTCAAAAACCGAGTCAAATCCATTGAAATATCCAAAATACTTCTTTTTATTCCAGTCTAGAATAGATTAAAAGAAATTGTTTGGCGATTTATTATTTCCAAAATAGTRATGCATGCAAAGTTCTTTTTTGTGTGTAAAAAMCAAGAACATCTTTGASAAATGAAGAGCCAATTCATGAAGGAAGCAATCTTCGCCAAACTATCTAAAAGTCAGATCRTACATTTCTGGAATAACACTTTTATGTCTTCTGGTCGAAAACTTATTTGTGATCTGATTACACCCTCTGTTCTAGGTCGTAGATTCTACATCTCAGTATGTCCTTTTTTTATCATAATAAATTCGTACTTGCAGTTTTTTTTGCATTGAATTTGATMGAATTGATGTTAGAATTTAATTGATAAATAGCAACAGAAACTTTCCAGCACCAAGTTGTTGTTATAGTTCTCTGTAAATGCAGGAGATACAGCTTCGTTGCCAGGATTAGAACTTCTGAGAACGCTGAAATTGATTAAACTCATGTTATCGTTGAATATCTCTATTCTTTTATTTGATATTGTTTCGTTTTTCAGTTTGACCTGCCGAAAATGCATGAAGCGAATAAGAGAAGGATATCATTAGGACCACTTTGTTGTACAGCCACTATAGGATTTCCTTGCGACACAGATCATCTCAAGTCTGTTGTTAAGTCAAGCCGATAATAAAGGTATTGTTGAAGCAACCTCGAATGTTCATTCATCACAGCTGTTTTAATTTACGCCGCGCGTCTCAATTGCAYGAAGTCAGGACTATTCAACCAAATGACTTACAACAAGGAAAAAAAAACATTACATAAGCCTGATTATAATTATAAGCGACGAACTTTTTCTTACGTAGTGACTTGAACAAAAACTACCTGATCTACGACCGTTCTTATCAGTCAAATTTTTGAAACAACACTTTTTGCCACGATTTTGGATTTGTACAGTTAAACGTCTTAAACGCAAGMCCTTTTTTATTTAGACTTTTTAAACAGATCTTGCGTTAAAGTAAAATCATCTATTYATTAGGGTAAAATTACCCTGAAACGCAAGGGAATCTTATTCTGCACCTCAACTCAACTGACATGGAACATTTTTATTAACCGACAGGAAAGTATCGACTGGTATGGAGYCTCAGAATTAAACTTTAGAGGAACAGAACTGCTGTTAAAATGTTATGAAATAATGAGCTCTTCAACAGTGCGTTTTATATTTCCCAAAAAGAGCTTATTTTAAGATATTATTGAGCTTAAAACATTTTCTTTCTCGCAGAGTATCTGTCAATATCGCAAATTCTGATGAAAGTAAAGTCGAATCCATTCTCCTTATATTTCTCAAAAAGGACGTATTAAAAAAATACCGAGGTTACAACAAGTCACAAATGTTTTCTCTTTTCTGTCATTATCTACCCAGGAAACCTGAAAGTGAYTGCTCTTAAAATAGAGTTGCGGMCAGTAGTGATCATGACCTCCTGTACATCAAGACTTATGAATSATCGATATCGATGCCTGGGTGGCGTGGAACCAATTGAGTGTAGTTGTCTCAGGTTTCTCAACAAATGCAGGCTATAGCTAGGTAGCTCGATACATATGTGACTTATTCCTTACTGGAAGGGATATATCTCAGTGCATATTCGTTCGCTTGTGCGAATCAATATGAAATTGACGTTGTAATAATTAGGGACCGTTCATTAATTTTGCCTGGGGGGAGCTGGAGGAAAAGTAGGGGGTGGGCTTCGAAAAATAAACAGACAATAAAGGGGGGGCTTTAATGGGATTTGCTGACGTGAAGAGGGGGGTGAAACACAAAATTAATGTATAATATATAATATCAATGTTTTTTTATTTTATACATTTCTTATCAATGATCATTTYAAACAACAACTTTAAGCTGGGTGATTTGAGAAAATGCGACTAGCCAATCAGCGCAAAGCTGACAAGCTTATGTTGTMAACATAACCCCCCGACAGGAGGAATTTGCACTGCAAAACTCGACCCTGTAGAGTAGGCTGCCTGTCATGTTATTCCATCTGAAAAATCGAAGCTAAAACGCAAAGAGAAATTGAAAATCTTTATAAAATAGCTTTTAAATGTTAATCAAATATTTATCGTTATAGAAATAGAATTTTATCTTAAAAATGAAATAACAAATAATTTTTCCAACATTACTGGAAGAGCTAGAGCAGCTTATCTCCATCTATTCCAATAGAGTTAAAGCGTTTAATATTTTTGGAACAAATCAACTGTCGTAGTTCATCCTTTGTCGCATTTTCGGGAAAAAGCCGCAAGCGTGCTCGACGATTTGACGCTATGTAACAGGTCAGTTACACATTTACTAGCTTTGAACTTACTATACAACGAGAGCTAGAACGATGACTGGGGTTTTTCGTGTAATGTCTTGATAGCGACTGTTTATGTCGAAACGACTCAAAGCAAAATTCCATCGTGAAAAAAGTTCCCTTCTGAAAAACACGTGTGTATTTAAGGTGGAAAATGTTTCATATGAGCATTCCGATACTTAAAGTTTTATTTCTATAATTATTTTGTTTAGTTATGTAAATATATTCGGCACGACTTGAACTGTTTGTGTGAGTGAAAGGCGAGCTGCGGGTTTTCCCTTTTCTTTATTAACACTTTGAAATATGACCGCTTCACAAAAATGCACGGGCTCACAGGGTTACAACCTTGGCGAATTCATATGCAGGCCTGGTCGGAAATCAATCACCCAGTTACTTTCTTTTTTGCTTTTTTTGTGACTCCTTTTAAAGTTTTACGAT